ACAAAAATAATGCTAAAACTTTATCGTTGCTTTGCCATTGCTGCAGAGGCAGATGCGGAAAACTCAATTGAAAAGTTTGCTGTTCATTTCCGGGTCCGAGTGCTGGCTCCAGAGAGGATGCTGGCGCGGCTGCACGCGGATGCTGGAAAGCGGCAGCCGATGGCGATGCCGATGGCATTGCCGGAAACAGGAGGTGTCGACCGGCAGGGAAATGCATTTGAATCTAATATGGCGTTCAGTTTTCCGCTTTCAGAGTTCAGAGAGCGCCAGAGGACACTACGTGTACGAGTGTGTCTCCTCTGTTCTCGCATTGGGATCGGGAGGCTACATCCTCGCTTGTGTCCGCCCCGCCGCTGTTTCCCGTTGTGCATAAATTAACTTTGTCCCCTTTTATTCGCTTTAAATTCAGTTTTTTCTGCGTATCTCCCACAACGGACATCGTCGATGTCATTTAGCTCGTTCCCGGCGCTTTGTTAATTCAAAAAGTTTTAATAATTTTACTTTTAGACAGCGCTGTGCTCGTGCTCGTGCTCGTGCACTACAGAAAGTGAGCAACAAGTGGAGTTCGTCCTCCTGCCCCCCCCTCCTGCCCCACGTTTTGGCTTGTTTTGCATATTCTAGTGGGGCTCCCGCTTCCTTTGCCCGGCTAGTGCGTATCTCCTGTGACGACTTCTGTAGGAGTATCTATTAAAGTTGTCGCATAAGGAAACTTTGCCAGCAACAGCAACAGAACACAACTCGAAAACAAATGCGAAAGGAAAGTGTCTTTGGGATCTAGCTTTAACCTTAAAGCCCTCTCTTTCTCTCTGCTGTAGAGCACTTGCACTTGATCCATCAGTAAATGAAAACACTTGACAAATGTGCTTCCACTGACAGGCTGATCCATAAATGCCAGCCACTGACCACATGAACGCCCCCAGCCCTCCTTGGCTCTCGCTGGCCACTCAAGTTAATTCCAAGCGAAGGCCCACACACATGGACATACATAAAAACGACAACGAAGCACTTGAGAGGCTCAGGGAGGAGGAACAGGAACAAAAGCCAGGGCTGGAACTGAAACTGAATGTGGAGGTGGCAGTGGCAGTGGAAGTGGAGCATCTGTTCGCCGAAAGTGGCTGCCACTTATGTTAGTGTCGCGTGTTGTAGTTGTACTGCCTCTGCTTCTGTTTGTGTGGCTCTTGCCACTTTTTATTATGCTCATAATTTGTTAGAGTTAGAACAGCAACAACATGACAGTGACACACACACACCCCATCGTAGTTGTTGGTGTTCACGAAACAGTAGCCAACATCGTGACCCAATTGGCTCTCGGTGGGGCCGTACTGAACAATCAGACATTGATTAGTTGATCCAGAAACCACCACCCACCCACTGGTGGGTGCTTCGGCCGCAGCGCAACTCAATCAGCAATTAGTCGGCTCGAAAATCCAAAGTTCATAATTCAAAATTGGCACACGCAAATACACGCGTATACATCCGCACTAATGGAAATTTATGGCGCTGTGGTTGAGTGCTTCGCGTACTCTTTCCAGTGCCAGCCACATGCCAGATCGCTGGAAACCCATAGAAAATTTTGAAATTTGCAAGGGCACCCCGCACGGACTACAATGCTGCTGATGATGATGAAGTGGACAATGCAGCCCATAAAGCACATCGTGGACCATAGATTAGCCTCCAAGTGCCCGAGTTCCGGCAGTAAACGAGCTCCAGATCGTTGACAAGCTGAATTAGGGCTTCAGCTGGTCAGTGTCCACAATTGTCCAACCCGAAACGCCACTCTCAAACCAACTGAAGTGTGGTGCCCCTGCAACTCCTTTCCATGCCCACACGTGCACTGCCTTCGCCCAAATTCATTCCATCCATTATCATGAATCGATTTATGCAAATTTTCGACCATAATACATACCCTTACCCTTGGAAGCAAAACAAAGCTGCATAATATTGTATTGTTGATTGAACTGCACGTCAAAAAATACTTTGCAGAATTTATTGCTTGGCCAGTGCTGTCATAGGGTTTGGCTTTTTAGCTGAAATTCAGCACGATTTTACTTTACCAAATACCTATAAATTTATGAACATATTCCCTCGGATGTGGTCTGCTGCTGGCCCATTAATTGCTGGAACATTGCCAGTTCCATTTAGAATATAATATGGTTTTTTATCCAAACTACTTTCCAAGTACACAAAACCGGCATCGCTGGTTAGATGTTTTCCTCTCCTTGCGGACTGTTTCAGGCTCCCATAATCCGTTATACGCAGCTGAGGGCCATTTGTTTATGCATTGATAAAAAGCGAATGAATGCTAAGAGGACTCTTCGGGTGTTGCCATTTTTGCGTGGCCTTTGCATATTAAGCTTATGTTTTATCGTTTATGGCGCTCACTGACACACGCACAAAAGTATGTATATTGCCCACATAATTTAGCAAACATTTTCATTTATATGCGTGTCTCACTTTGGCCATGTGTCTGCGTATCTGTGCCTGTGACTGGTCAAGACCCACAAGCCAGGAGCCATGCTGCTGGGGTCTCAGAGCTGGGCGGCGGCCGGCTGCCGGCCCCCGGCAAATGGATAATTCCGGAGTATGCGTCCGGGCCCACCAATGAGGCGTACTTAATGATTATTGCATTTGTTACTTTTATTTATTTATATTTATTTATCTCTTGCGCAGGCCGAGGACGCCGCCGGCACTCGCTTTGTTTTGGCCATTACTTTTATGGCTCAAACGGAGTCCAAGTGCATGGCCGGACTTCCCTTTGTGCCCATCCAATTGCTGTGGCCCCCGCGTTATTACTTTATGTATTTGTCTTTTCCTTTTTGGTGCGAGGGTCCCGGCTCTAAGCGGCTTAGCTTAGCCAGTGCCGCGGGAGATTTGGGCCTACAGAGCATCGACATTTATTGCTGTCTACTAATGTCGTGTACCCATTTGTTGGGCATTTAAGCCGGCGCATGTTGGCCTATCCGCCGGCTCTTCTGGCCGAACAATGAACTCCGCAGATACGTACTCGTATTAACCCCGCTGACCTCTTTCGGTATACGAGATAGGAGATACGAGAAGCTTATAAATGCTTCGAACAAATGAGCAAAAATTGCACACAAATGGCCGTGGCTTCCGTCCGAACAGCAAAAGGATATAGTGCGGATATGGCGGGGACAGCTGGCTCTGGCCAAACATGTCGCCATCTTGGTGGGCACTCAAAATAAATTTGAACAAAAAGCACAGCAAAGCAGAGGACAGGACCGACAGGACCGACCGGACCGGGGTCCCTGACTCATATTTCGGAGTCGCAGCACAACTTGGGTTCTTCCCACGACCCCGCACCCGCCCCCGCCCCCACCGCACGCCACACGCCACACGCCACACATGCCACGCCAGGATGACATGGCCATACGAGTATAAGAACTGCAGAAGTGCAGTCGTTGCTCTTCATATAAAATTTCGGTTTGGAGTTTTGTCTTCTTTCGGTTGTGGTTTTTCTTCCTCCGCACTCGGGACTCGGGCTATCATTTAATGTTGCATTTCTGTGTCTGTTCGTTTCTTTTGTGCAACCAAAATTGGCTTAAACTGTTGCAAGTTCATAAAACAAACAACTAAATTTGAAAAGTTGCAAGTGGCATCCAGAGCCACAGCCAGAGCCACAGCTACAGCCACAACTCCAGCTACAGCAAACTTTCCCATTGCCGACGACGACGACAATGATGTGGCCTGAACTTGAAATTTACGTTATTTGAATTATCAACTTCAGCGCTGTGGCGACGTCTGGCCAAAAACTTTCATAACAAAGTGAAATTTTTCTCTTATATCCAAGGAGTTTTCAGTCCTCTCCATGGGGAAGACTTGCAGCAAGCTGCTGCACTGCCACTGCTCTGTGTGCATATATATTTTAAAGAATATGCTTTTCATACCTATTACTCATGGACTACAAAGGTGTGTTAAGTTTGTGTAGATAAGAAACACAGAATGGACTTTCAACCAACCTTTTCGAAGTGCCTGGAACAATGGAGATTTCTCTAAATATATGTATGTACATTCTACTACTTCCTAAATTAAATTTACTGTGTCCGCGAAACTGGATCATTTCTTTGGTGACAGACTCTCATTTATATTCCTTTCCTAAATCAAAAATAAACTTGGTTCCAACTGCTAGGCATACAGGCGTGTACCTCTTTTCAAAGAAAATTCGTACGAGTATGTACAAATGTGTAGGTTGCCAGTAGCATTATTTCCCATTGGTGCGATGTGCGGCACAAAGTATGCCATAATTCGGCAAAGCAAACACAGTACAAAGTCTCGCCAGGCTCCGACTCATGTGTGTAATTTGGGCTTAAGATGGCCAACAAAGTAGCCGCAAGAAGAATTGTGTTAAGCGGTTTAAATGTGAAACATTGTTGACGTCCAGCTTCAATTATTGGATTTTCCCGTACACTAAGGCTAAGGAAAAATTATGGTCAGCTGGCAGCGACATTTGTGGCCGACTTTACTGGAGATCTAAGCCGCTTAGCCACAAATTATTACTTATAGGTTTAATCAAACTGAGTAGCTTACTGTGAAGATACTTTAAAGATTTTAGGAACAGAGACTAAATTGGATAATTTGTACACGGGCTCATACTATGTAGCCGTTCTTATTTATTCATTTACAAACATATTCCTGGCTTCATTTATGTTGCATTAAACTATAATTTAATAGTACTGAATACATAACAGATCAATTTATAAATTGTATAAATTGAGTTTAAAAGGTGTTTTATGTTTTATGTTTTTGTTATTTGTTATTGCCAATATTTGCACACCAACAGCGATTGTGGGAATTTGGAGAACGGGTATGGTATGGTATCGTGTACGGAGGAGGCATTCACGAGAATGGGCTTTGTCGGGCGGGTGGTTAAGCAGCGTCGGTAAATACTTCTGAAGCGGTACTGAATTCACGAAGACTACTTTAGAGTAAACTAGATTAAATATGTGTACGTCTATATTCACATAGAAATATAGAGGGGGCTGTATAGTAGTTAATTCTATTCCTGATTCAGGTTTTTGATCACGTAATTAACAATAAGGGCAAATATCGCAAAGCAGATGACGATCACCAGGTTCGAATAGACAGACTGCCAATTTAGATAGGAATTGCGCGGGCTGTCCAGCAATGGCGCTACACTATTGGCCACCTCCCTGGCAAGAGCATCAGCGCCATCGATGCCGTTCGCGCCATCCTGAAAGTAGGCCGCGTTGGCTGGCTGGTTTGGATTGGCGAGCGCAGCTCCTCCGTTGGCCATGCCATTGGCGCGCTTCGATGCGTCCGATGTGGATGCGGTGGCAGCACCACCCGCTGATGCCGCCTGGGTGCCCTGTAGCCGCTGCTTTATCTCCTCGACAATGTCGGGAAAGAGCTCACAGAAATTTGTGTTGCGGAGGTTAAATGCTAGCGACTTTTGAGCAAACACTTGCTTGTCGTAGTTCGATGACTCAATGGAACCCAAAGTTGGAGTGCTTTCCAGCTGGAGGACATGCAAAAATAGTTTGTTTTAGACTCCGATCAGTCGCGGCATTTCACAGACTCACCATGAAGCTTAACAGACCCGTCAGAATGGTGCCCACACACCAAGTGGGGTTCCAGGTGTCCGGATGAAAGTCTGCACGGAGGAAACACCATGACTAAATGAATCCAAATTGCTCATATTTGTTTATAGCTACCTGATATGCTCAAGCACAGTCGAGTGTTGGTCTTGAAGCGTCCGTTTGGGGTCGTCATGTAGATAGATGGCGGCTTGAAGGGGAACTCGCGTGGAAACAACAGTGTTCCGTGGTAGTAGCCGCCATAGTAGGGCGAGTCCTCAGGCCCCTTCACGCAGTAATGCCACTCCAGTATGTTGTTGGGCAGCGGCTCGGCTGTGATGTACGGCAAGGGATCGCGCTTCAGGCGCATATAGTCCTGCTTCATGCGCGACACGGCTGTGGGCTGTTTACGGCCAGGCGCGGACGACGAAGTCATGCTGTCTATTTAATTTTTAGAGTATTGGAATTTCCTGAAATGAAACTGATGTGTCGAACAAAAATTTAAAATTTTCGAACACAAGCACACTTGTTCCTTGGTGCCAGATATGTAGATAAGAGCAGGGCCAACCGAGACCGAAACAAACACGTGGCCCCCGAGTTATTGCCATTGAATCGAATTGCATTACTATTATACAATGTACATACGTACCCTCCTCCTACAGCCGACAGCAGAGCTGCCCACTCCAGTGCTCGAGTAATGGGACTCGTCAGGGGGCTTCTTCGGATCTGTTTACTGTTCCGCCGTGCATGCAGTCCAGTACGGCTCGCGTCGCGTCCCGCTGGGGCTTGCTTTGTTGATGTCAGTGTTGCCGTCGCCGTCGCCGTCGGAGCTGGGCAGTGCGATCTCCGTTGTTGCTACTGTTTTGTTGCTAATTGCAAAGAATTACAGCTGCTGCCTCAGCGAAATTGTATGGGAGAAAACAGCGCACACACACAGACAGGCCGTAAATTATAGCTGGATTTCGATTTCTGCGCGGCCCCCAACTGCCCTGCAGTCTCTTAGCTTGTTTTTGATTCTAAATACTGCAGTATTAATATGCGATGTTTAGTTTTGGGAGATTTTCTGGCATTATTTTCTATTTTTGTTATAATAAATTTCTCCTGACGTGCTATTGTGTGACCGCGGATTTATCGATAAAATATACCGTCCTACCCTCAGAAATATACCGAAACATACCGCCTCATTTTCAAAATATACCGTAAATATACTGATGAATTCAAGTTCTATTTTACATATTCCTCGTTTTTGATATTCCGTCGAATATTACTAGCTAGATAAAACATTTTGCCATGCCCACATAATTTTATACGATTGATGAATCAATTTTCTATATAACTGGTGTATTTTTAATACTTGCTTTTATTGCATTTTGCGTAAAAAGAGGTTTTAGCGAAATAAGTCAAACAAAAAACAAGTAGCGAAATAGGTCAATCAAAACAAACGGAAAAGGAAATTGCTCAATTTTGATATTCCATTGAATAATGCTGACTAACTAAATCTCTCAGCAATGCCCACATAGTTTTATCCCATTGATGAATAAATTTTCTATAAGATTGGATAGTTTTTAATCCTTGCTTTTATTGTATTTATTGTAGAACGAGGGGGAACGTTGTGAGTTGCTGCGGAGACCGCAACTCTACAGTTATACCCGATACTAAGTCAGTATGGCTCTCCGCTAATATTGAACTACACGACAAAGAGTGCGTGCGAGAGAGACAGAAAATCAGTCTGAGCGTGACGTCGGGTGCTGCGTAGCCAGTGCAAATTGATTTGTTCCTTTTGGCTATAAAAATTATCTGATCTGATCCAGATTCAGCAATCTGATAGATATGATCATTATCTATGATTATGCGTTTTTAGTTTTCTCGAATGTGCAATATTGTGGATGCAACAGATTTTCGTCCTTTGTGGGGGCGGAAGGGGGCGGGGCAAAGTTTTGAAATATTTTCGTAACAGTGACATATCACAGAAGTCTGGATCCAAAACATCGTTGCTCTAGCTCTTATAGTCTTTAAGCACTAGGCGCTGAAGGGGACGGACAGACGAACGGACGGACAGACAGACGAACGGACGGACAGACAGACGAACGGACGGACAGACAGACAGGACTCAATCGACTCGGCTATTGATGCTGATCAAGAATATATGTATGTATATACTTTATGGGGTCGGAAACGATTCCTTCTGGACGTTACACAAATCGGCTTCAGTGCCGACAGCATCGAAGATGCGAAGATTCGATGTCTTAGTTTATAGCCTTTATTGAAAAAGAGAAATTATAAATACAACGGAAACCGGTGTCGTACTATTTAATGATATCCCCAGTACGAACGCCAGGGCGAATGGCCCAGTGGTTGGGATCCTTGATTACTTGTAAGGCGCTCAAGTCATAGCCAGCAGGAAGTACAAGTGGCTTCTTCAGACCTTTCAGCAACGGTGATTCCTTTGGATGTGGCTGTATTGGCATATTTTGTTTAAAAGGTGATACATATTCCTCCTCCACAGGCTTGGTGTGACGGAAATAAGAATCCAAGACCAAATCAAACTGTTTACGAGGCGACCAAAAGCACTCTGGCTGAGTGTTCTGGGAGTTGTCAGTGTGCAAATTCTTTTCTTTGGCCTCATCAGGCCGGTTGCTGTTGGATTCTATGCGTTCTTTCAACATCGATGGGGCTCGATCCAAACTGAACACCTCAACGCTGGGCAACTCATATGGCACTGGAGGCAATTTTCGGAGACTTTTCTTCTTTGAATACAGCTGCCAATTAGACAATTTGTTTGTTTCTTTCTTTCTTTAGTTCTATAGATTTTGATTAACTTACAGGAACTTCATCTTCACTGCCAGAGGCACTGCGACACGACGACGAAGCGTACAAGAAATCGGACCGCTCGCTCCCATTGAAGGAGTGAAAGGAACTGTCGTCTGAGTCGGAGTCACTCATGTTGGCTTTTGATCGGATATAGAGTTCTTTTAAATTTTAATTCAATTATTTTGCGCAATTTACGGCGTGTTATTATCAGTGTGACCGATCCTTAGAAATATACCGTCTAATTTTCAAAATATACCGTATACATACCGATGAAAAAAGAATTTAGCCCACTTGCATCCCCTTGAGATCAACCGCGAAAAATAATACTAATAATAATAATAATAATAAGAATTGCAGGTCCATGCCATCCTTCATCTGCACATAAAAATAGATCGCGATATCTTTCACCTAAACTACGCCAAATTCTACAAATTTCATAGTTTTCGTGGGTAGTATTTCAATAGCCAATATTCGGTTACATTAGTTTATCCCATTGCTTGATTTTCTACAAGATTTGAAAATTTTAGGGAATTCTTTTATTGGAATTGAGTATATTTTTTATATACTCTAGGTTTTTTTTTGTTTTTTATTATACCTTTATAAATGAAATTTAATAGATTGATGAAATATACCGATATACCGTAAATATACCTTCACTAAATTACGACGTCAAATATACTGTAAAATGGATTTTCGATTACCTACCGGTTAGGTTATCGGTGCTAGCGGTTAGCGACCGTTATCTTCAAAATTGTGAAATGGTTTTGAATTTGACTGTGATTTGCCAGAGTGTGCTCCAGAGTGTACGGAATACATACAGAATGCCCCACTTAATGAACAAAACATCTGTGTGACTTCGTCACACAAGCAAAACGATTGAAAGAGTTCTAATCTCTCGCAGTTGGTCTTTCAGCTGATAAAAAACACACACACACCCAAGACCCCATATAGCCGTATGAACCAAACGATAAGCACCGATCATTGGGTTTGTTGTTTGCACTTCCAGAGGGTGTAAAGAGGAATGGGGGTAGGAGATTGCCTTATCAATCTACGCGACGGCGGCTTGTTTTTGTTAACGCTCACAAAACAGTTGCTGCTTCGAAGGCGCAAAGTGCAGTCCGTCCGTGATTAGATATTTGAATATGGCATCGATCGGAAAAATAGGATTCCTCGGGGGCGGTAACATGGCCAAGGCCTTGGCCAACGGATTCCTCTCAGCCGGTGAGTAAGGTATTTCGCCACTGCCCCGCACTCTTGCAAAACTTTGTGCTCCGCTCCACGCAGGTCTGGCCAAGCCGAGCGGAATGATTGCCAGTGTCCATCCCGCGGACAAGGTCTCCCTGCAGGCATTTCAGGCATTGGGCGTGGAGACCGTCGTGCAGAACGCCCCCGTTGTGGAGCAGGCCGAGGTGGTCTTCGTGTCCGTCAAGCCGCAGGTGGTGCCAGCTGTGTTGAAGGAAATCAAGCCGCTCAGTCGCGGCAAGCTGTTCCTATCCGTTGCCATGGGCATCACCCTGCAGACGATCGAGTCCAGCCTGTCGCCGGAGTCGCGTGTGATCCGCGTGATGCCCAACATCCCGGCCGTGGTCCGCTCCGGCTGCTCGGTGTACGTGCGCGGCAGCCAAGCCAGCGATGCCGATGCCCAGATCACGCAGCGCCTCCTCGAATCGGTGGGCACCTGCGAGGCTGTGCACGAGTCACAGCTGGACACGGTCACGGCGCTGAGCGGCAGTGGGCCTGCCTACGTCTTTGTGATGATCGAGGCCCTGGCCGACGGCGCTGTTCACATGGGTATGCCGCGGGACCTGGCCTACCGACTGGCCGCGCAGACGGTCCTGGGCGCCGGGCATATGGCGCGGGACAGCGGCCTGCATCCCGGGCAGCTGAAGGACAGCGTAACCAGCCCGGGGGGCTCAACGGCAGCGGCCCTGCGGCAGCTCGAGCTGTCAGGTAAGTGCGAGTGACGTCGAGAACGTCAAGGCTGATAGCTGGCCCTCGCTTATCGCCGAACCAAAGCTCAACTCACCCTCACCTCTCCTCCATGCCGATGTTGTTTCTAGGTTTCCGAGCAGCGGTTGCGGGCGCCGTGGAGCAGGCGACGCTGCGCTGCAAGCAGATCTCCGGCCAGAAGTAGACGTAGACGCATTAGATTTGTTTATATTATTTATAGGCTACCATAATTCGCATGATTCTGTACAATATCGAAGGTCTGTCTGCGGTAGACAGAGCCGCAGAAGATTTCCTGATAGTAAAAAACACTTTGCTCCAGTCATTGGCTACTGGTCCTCCCCTACTTTTTGCGCTTCTTCGAGCGGGCCAGCTCGTTGAGCTCGCCCTGCTGCATGGAGGCCTCCTGGTAGATGCGCTTGACCTTCTCGTGCCGCTCCTTGTCGCTGTAATTGGGAGAAAAATATATGAACGGATTATAGAAACTGAATCGTAAACTTCAAGGACAAACCTTTGCAGCTGCTGCTTGAGCTTGAGCTCCTGCACGAAGGCCGTGTCGCGACGAATCTCCCGGATGGCGCCCTTCTTTTCCCGCTTGATCTTGTGCAGCAACTTGGCGCGCTCCTCCTTCTCCTTGGACATCTTGGGCCGCCGCTTGTCATCGTAGACGGTCTCGAATCGCGGCTCCAGCATGCGCAGGGCCTTGGGCTTCCTCTCTGCAAGAGCCACGGGCTTCATTTTCTGCTCGGCCAACTGTTTCGCCAGCTGGCTGGCCTCCCTGTGGTGCTGGTGCACATGCTCGGGATATGGCTTGAGGCGCAGGCGGGCGAGCAGGGGAATGAACGGACTGGCCAGATAGCAGGCACCCGTGTGTTCCCCCACCAGCTGCAGCGCCTCCTGGATCAGGCACAGCGCCGTGTCCAGGGCACGCACCTTAAAGTCCAGGGTGATTGTGTGAGTGACCAGATCGGCGGCCTGGAGCTTCTGGTGCTCCAACGCCTTGCTCTCTGCCGTGGCCGGAATGGCCAACAGCTTGCTGAAGGGTCCGTCCAGGTCGAAGGGGGGCGTTACCACCAGTTCGTCGGCGTCTCGCTTGGGTATCGCGATGTAGAGGATGCCCTCGAGGAAGTTGAACACGGAGGGCAGGAAACGCTTTGACTGGGAGCCGAATTCCAAGGCAATGGCCACCACAAACAGGCCCATGGCAATGTCCTGACGCGTTCGAACCCGCGCCCTGGACAGGATGTGCTCCATGAAGACGTACGTGGGCGTGGCCACGGGATGGCGAAAGTCGGAGGTCGAATACACATTGGAGACCAGCTTGAAGTAGACGAGTGTGTCCAGCGTGGGATATGTCTTGCTGTTCTTCCGGTGGTCCCCGAACTTCTCCTTGATCACGTCCAGCAGGGCGCTGGACATGCGCTCGGGGTTCATCTGGGTGAGCGTGTACAGGTGGGGCATGAGGCGCGAGAGTAGCTGGAAGTGCTGCCGGATGTCCTGCTCGCTGGCATCCTCAAACAGATCCTTCAAGTACTGCAGCAAGAAGCAGTAGAGCTTGACCACATTCTCGCGATTGACGCCATCCAGCTTGGGGTCATTGCACTTGATGATCCGCTCCACAATGGTGGCCTGCTGGGCAACAGCGTGCCTGGAGAGCAGCTCCGTGAAGTCCTCGTAGCTCTTGGGCATTTTAATGGTGAAGGGTATGCTAGAGTCCTCGGTGGTTGCCGGTGCCTTCAGCTTCTCTTTTTTGGGCTTCCTTTGGGTGGGCTCAGCGGAGGCTTCCTCTGTCTCGGATTCAGCCTCCGACTCGTCCAGATCACTGTAGTTCTCCGCCTCAGACTCACTGTCGTCCTCGGAGTCCTCCTCTTCGCCATCATCATCACCGTCCGCCTCCTCATCTTCGTCTCCGCTGGCCTCCTTTGCCGGCGCCTTGCCACTCAGGTGCGTGCCCAAATTGCCGTCCAGATCGTAGGCCAGGGTGTCGTCGCCGTCGTCCTCCCCACCGGCCACAAAATATCCATCATCCAAGTCATCCGCTGATCGATGCTTGGGCTGTGCACTGGCCGCCGGGTCCTCCTCGCCCTCCGCTCGCATGCGACGCAATCGCTCGTTCTCCAGCTTCTCGAGACGCTCCGCCTCCTGCTTGGCCAGCTCGACGGGATTGATCAGCTTGTCTGTGACGCTGCCGCGCGGCTCGAATATCATTTCCTTCAGCAGCTTGTCATAGGCATCCGCCGGGGGCTTTGCCTCCTCCTCATCCTTGGTGGCCTTGGCCACCAGCGGCAGCAGCAGCTTGTAGTTGGCATCTAGTTTTTCCGTGAGGTCGTATACCTCATTCTTCTCCTTGTCGATTTCGTTCTTGCGACGCTTCTGCTCGGCAATCATCTCGTCGATGGCCACCTGACGATCATGCGGGCTGGTCTCATTATCATCGCCACCGAAATGGGCGGCTGATGTAAAGTCGGCTAAAAAGGAACACACATTTCAGTTAAAAGAGGCTGTGACAACCTTTTGGTTCGGCTTACCATCCAGAGCCTCGTCGTCCAGCTCTTCGTCGTCGGAACGCTCGTCGCGGTACTGCTCAATCTCCTCCAGCGTCTGTCCCCTGTGCGTCAGCAGCTCGTCGTCGTTGAGATTAAACTTTTGGGCCTTTTGCGACGTACGCACTTGGGACATCTTCTCGGCCAGATAGCGAGCATTCATCACCGATTCCGTCAGCTGGTCGCCGCTCAGGTGCCTGCCAATCCGGTTATCCTTGAATTTGTTCGTCTTGTGCTTCACCGCGAACTGTTGGCCCAGCGTCTGGGTGCGCTTCTGCAGAGCCTTGGAGCGCGCCACGCCTGGCATGCCCCGGTCATGCTTGCAGATGCGTCCTAAGATCTTGAACTTCTCCTTATTCACATGAACATCGAATGGATTCTGTCGCTTCGCCGATTGAGCTGTGGCACTGTCGAAGGGATTGCTGGACTTGACCGTCTTCTTGGCATACACCGCATCGGCGTTGGCCCGTTTATTCTTCGCACCCATTGCTTAATTGCTTAATTTTTACGGGAATTAAGTCGAGTTCATTTGGAGGAAAACAAAATACTTGCGGCACACGTGCAGGTTTCAACGAACTTAACCCACTTAAACCCCCTCTATTAAAACAGTGGAACAAATTAATACCGCGGAAAATAATTCTGTTTGTAAATTCTTCTTGTAGATCCATCCCGTTTGCTTTACATCCAAAAAAGGACCACGATATATATAAAATATGTATGTATATAATATAATATTATCTCTAACTTTTTTCACCGCTTTCCAGCACTCAATCGATGTCTGAACGTGTATATGCCGCTATCAAAGATGGCGTCACTTCTACGGTGTCTGTGTGAACGATTCTAGTTGCCGCTGAAAAAATTAATATTTCTCGCATAAAATTTAACTACCGGCCGCCTTACCCAATCGAAAAGCGTTAATACATAATTCCGGTGTGATTTACAATTGAAATTGTGCCTGTGCGTGCGCCAGTCGCTGTTAAATCCCAACGCAAACGATTGTGTGTGTGCATCCAGAGAATTTCGAGGTGTGTGCATTGCAGCGCTTTTTTTGTGTGTCCCCATAGTACCCCCGCATCCTGTTCAGTCGTGTGTACCCGCAAACATTGTGCTAAATTATATAAAAATAAATTGGCGAAAAAGGCAACAAAAAAGAAAAAATTCTGCTAGTGGAATGCCATATAGAGCGACAGCGAGAGAGAGAGAAAAAGAGAGGGAGCGTAAGCGTGAGAGAAATCGATGACGATAGCTTTGTTTAGCTATCGCCCTCGATACACTCCTCCGCAGCGCAGTAAAAGCGGCGGCGTCAAGGAATCCCTTGCAGTATGACCGTGCTGTAGATAACCAAATACACCGAACGCAAGTGAGTGCGAGAGAAAAGAGACGCCGCGCAACAACAATTCGTGGTGAGTTAACCGCCACTCAACTCACCACGCTCTCACCCAGAAATCTAGCACAGTGGTATCGAAATTTATGCCTCTTAAACCAATCTTCCTCCGGTTTCATCGCTATTTGAAATATGTAAAATGAGTGCTCAGGATGTGGCATGCCACTGCATCCTCTATTCCCGTTGTTCAATCGTGTTAGAATCGTACATGTCCCAACTGAGGCGCTGTGACTCGTCGTCGGTGTGTGTTTGTGTGTGACTCCTCTGTGTGCAACCCCAAAACGTACCCATTAATCTGTACTACAACATTTTTTCGCTACTTTTACTATGTCACAACAAAAACAACAAGTTTGTACAACAATAGCAATGCAAAAAATATTTTCATGAACTACTCGTTTCGCTGTGTGTGCGGTCGTTCTCTCCCCATAAAGTATATACACACACATATAGAAGAGAGAGCCCAGCGAAAGAGAGTGGGAGAGAGCGTGAGAGTGAACGGCAGAGGAAAAAAAAAAATCGTCTCAGTTGCCGTATGCGTATGCCGCCTTCGGTCGTCGGTTTTAAAAGATATAGAAATCTTCTATACCTCCACACACTCCACACTCTCTACCCGCCGCCGCATAGTAGAGCGCAATCTGTTTAATCGGTCTTAACAGCAGAGCAAAATATCAAGTAAATCACCCAAATCAGAAATACAAAAGAATACCAGTAGCAAATAAATTCGTGGTGAATGCAAATTTTTCAAGTGCGCAGTATAGCGGCGAAATTCCAGACGCAATTTGGAGTATTCCCAAAGTTTTAATAAATAAATAAATATGTAATTACACACTCAAACACTCGAATGGACACACAAGCCCAAAATTCAGAGAGAGAGTGTGTGGCTACAATTGAGTTGATTTTTGGATTTTATATATGCATACCCATACATGCATATATACATGTATATTTTTTACTTATATTATTTTTAGAATATCGATTTTGTTGGCCGCCTCTTAATGAGTGTCTGTGTGTGTTTTGTGTCTCTCCCCTGCCTTCGTGCGGTTGTGTGTGTGTACGAACTATACATATTTGTGATAAGTGTGTGTAGCATCGTCGGACAGTAAAAATGTGTTAAGAATTATGTTCATATAGACATAAGTTACCTAATCTAGTGCAGAAGAAAGAAGGGAAACTAAGAAAAATCAAGTAAAGCGAAATTAATGAAAGGAGAAAAATGCCTCATCAAAACAGCTGCGCCGCTCTCTCTCTCTCGCTCTTCCTATCTCGCTTTCAAGTCTCACCTCATGTCTCCCCACACTCGAATGTCTTCCTCTTTCTTTTCACACACGCACTCACTCACTCACACACACATGCACACACACCATAGTGCGCTTCTGCTTTGTGCTTTTGTGTGCGTGTGTGTTTTGCCTTAACGCCACATCGTATTTACATGTGTTGACCCCACTTGGACCCCATCTGCCTAACCGCATCTTCTTCCGCTCCCCTCCCCCACCCCACCACGCGTTGCGTTGTGCAAAAAAAAAAAGTGGAAAAACGCGAAACTACAGTTTTAATTCAATTACAGTGCTCCCAAAACCAACGATAGTTAAATAACAAGAAGAGAGTACACTACGCTACGCCATTATCTACCGTGACATCGTATGCCAATTAGTGGGAAAAGCGAGACAGGTACGACCTACCGGAATTTGATAAATAGCTGTTAATCGAAAGAGAGAGAGAGATAATGTAAATAAATAAGAATAGGAACCATGGATATCTACACTCTCTACGCTCCAGTTCAATAACTTTTCATAGAAAGAGTACTCTACTGCACTCTACTCTCCAAGTAAGGGCAGAGCGAGAGAGCTATGGACCCGTGGGCCACAACAACGGAAGTTTACATCCATTTTTGGGTCTCCAATCTCTCGATTTGCACGGCCGAACAAAGAACTGGTTCTAATTGATTGAGTGATTGAGTCGCTGAGTAAGGGGCTATATGGGGAGACACCACTGTGTGGTGCGGTGTGGTGTGCTGTGGCGTGGTGTGGTGTGGTGAGGTGAGGTGAGGTGGCGGTTCCAGAACCTGCTCGACAAATTAACAAGTTCTCCAATTGACACATACAGGGGCACATATTGTCCGTTCGCCGAGCCTACTGTTTGAAATTAACATAAATGTGTCAAAATGGTAAATAATGTCCAGGGGGGCAGCCCCCCCTCACCATCACCATCCCACACTGGACAGGTGACAAGGCCCTTGCAACAGACCAATGTTTGACAATATAATTAAACCATTAACCATAATATATCGCTCGCTCGCTCTCTCTCTACACCAGGATTAATTATAATAATTCATGATACTCCGTAGAGCACATCCCAACCCAAAATTTGAACGTGACTTGTATGCAATTAAGGTGTTTCTTTGGAGCTCCGTCAGAACAATAAATACAACGAAAAGAACGATAACGAACGAGCGAACGGAACGTATGCAAAAGGCAGACAATTTCCAGTTTATTTTTTAGCTGTGCGATCGATCGATCCCCGGGATCCAAGTGTTTTGTTTGCCTAAGCGGGTTTGTCACTTGCTATTCCGTGCCGCGCACTACTGCCCCACTGCATGTCTCTGTTTCTGTGTGTGCGTGCGTGTGTGTGTGTGTGTTTGTGTGTGGGCTTCTCTCTCTCTCTCGCTCTGTGGCCCAGACTGGGCTTTGACGTACAAAAGTAGATACGTAGACAATTGCAAGCATCGATTCGTATGGGAAAATAAAGAGTATTCTTTTGGCTCCCTTTAATCATACATATTTGCATGAAATTTTTATAAATTTCTTGTAGCTTTAATATATCTCGAGGGTAACCCACATTCTGGGTGGGGAGGTTTCTACTTCCAAGTAATTTAAATGAATTAACCAAGTCGGTCAACTGAAATAAATGCCATGCCATCAGCATGACTCCCCCGTTTGTGCCACACACACACACACACAGAAGACAATTTGCGTTTCCATTGGAGATTTCACAGCAGCGGAATTTGTGGCCATAAATGCCTTGGGAGGAGCCACATATGAAAAGTGCTCCACATTCTCCAAAGAGGAGCTCTATTAAGTCCCTCTCCTCCACCTCCATCTCCTCCCGGGGGCGACCTGCTTGCCGTCTGTTCACCTTCTCTCACGGATGTTCATTTGGTTGCAACTTCAACAATTTCTGCCTGGCTGCAGCGGTTAAAGAGCGTGTTTAAAGCTCCCCCCCATGCCCCATACACCTCTCTCTCTTGGTTGACACAACTGACCTCACTTTTTGCCACTCATTCTGTTTGTCTTTGGATTGCAGATGCCACATGGAACAGCAGAAAGACCTTCTCTGGGTCTCTCCACCTGCTTCGTGTTTTCCCCGTCTGTTTACATCGTTATAGAAGGGCGATGGAGGAGGAGCCGGAGCCGGAGCCCCTCGTCTGCTCTAAAAATAAAGCGCAAACTCCATTGCAATTGACTTGATTTACACAGAGTTTTCTCCATGTTTTCGCCATCGATGAGCATTGCCTGGCATTTTCCATTGAATTTTCTGCAAATATCTATCAAAGTTCTTGGCTCAAAATGTCTTATTTAATCTGCAGCAGAAGTTCTTTCAATTTGTTGGAAAATATTCAATTCGGAAACACTCTGGGAATAGAACTCCTGTTTGTTCAATCGAAATTCTGTTTACTTGTTTGTTAGAGAGATGAAAAACACTCGTAATATTGGTAGAAACTCGGAAACAGTCGATGGAAAAAGCTGAAAACATACACGATTTTTCACATGGAGCTAAATTCACAAACATCTGAGTGTAGAGGGCAAATGTTAATCTCGTTATAATTAGATGATTGCTCCCGCCACGCCCCCAGATTTCTGGCACGTCTCGCTAACGAGTGGCACAATCAGCTGCTGGTGGGGCAGTGGAACGTTAAAAGGCCTCCCAGCATCTCACAGTTTTCAGTTCCTCAAAAGTGGTTTCCTTCCTGTAAGAGTTCTTGAAGAACCCCCCTGAGAAACCATTAAGGAAAACTATTCGTACATTCATTCCGACTGCCACAAACTGTAGAAATAATTTCACATTTTCTGTCCCAGACATACTCGAATTTTCAGCTTTTCCTTTCGCTTTTCTCCCGCTGCTTCTGCTTTTGGCCGCAATTAATGACGTTTTTCATCGCTCATAATATAATTTTAGACGCGGGGGAACATTTTGAGTGCCAGTGAAAAATCTTTTTGCTGATTTTTTCTTTCCGTTGAGGAATCGTGGGGAGGGAGGGGGTGTGTTCCGTTTTTCTGCGTGGCATCCTGTGGCGAAAACCCGTGCGTCGTCGGCGGCATCGTCGTCGTCTCAAGTGCAGTTCAATGTATTTTTGTAATGTTCTTAATTTATTTTCAGTGTTTATTTATAGCATACAGAATATGGTAAACGGAAATTCCACAGCTGTGCATGAAATCATTTGACCTTGAATGGGTTGGATTCAATATTATTTCAATGACTATTTAGGGAGCCCCCCCCTTCCCCCCGTCTGTTGGGTTCCTTTTGTTTCCTCGAGTGGCGTCATGGCCTTTAAATCAATAAAAAACGAAAAAACACTCGGTGGAACAGTACGACAGACAGACAGCTGCAGCAATTAAATAAAATCGCACATTGCACAATTAATAATTAGCACTTGTTTAGCCACCAGCGAGGGCCCGAGAAGTGAAACAAGTGCACCTCCACCCCACAGGTGGGCCAACAGCCACTGGTCTCCCTCTCCCCTCTCCCCTCTCCCCCTCCCTCTCCTCGTCTCTGTTTGTTTGTTTCTTTTTTTTGTTTTTTCAGGTGGCAAGAACACCTACCATATGGCTATCTTATCTTTCACCTGAGATACATTTTTACTTATTTTCTGCGCTTGATTGTCTTTTTTTGTAGTTCACTGTTTATGCGACATTCATATTTTTGTGCTGATTTTTGATTAGATGGGTGCCACGCCCACACACACACAGAGGCATACAGCCCCCCGACTGGTTATCACAGCTCAAAATCTCTTAATTAAAAAAT